AAAGATGAAAGCTTTATTGGATTTCTACATAAGTTCAAGAAGAGAAAGTTAATCTTATTAGAGGCAAAAATTTGTTGGGGTAAGAAGAAATTGACATAAGTCAAGAATTGCAAGAGTGCACGTTGGTTTAAACAAAAAGTGAAGACTACTTAATCAGAAAGGGAAGAAATATCACACTTGCAGCCATCTCCACCACAGATCAAGAAAACATGCATTTATACATGGATTTGTTTCATTGCATCATACATAATTTCGTACATACATACATAATACTTACAGATTTTTCAAGAAAATAAGAAAAAGAAAAGTCAAGATTCAAGCCTCGAAAGGAGGGAATTACATTCAGAGTGGCAGAACCTTAAGAATTGAGGAACCCAATCCATAGAATGATCATTATTTTAAACGGGGCATTTTACCAATCAATATACATTTTTTTTTAGAAACTAAGTCTGATTTTCAAAGGTTTCCTAACACGGTATTTTTAAATGAGATTTAAAGAAACTAAGTCTGTTTTTTAGAGGATTTTGGACATGCTAGACTTTTTGAAAAACTAAGCTTGATTTACAAAAGTTTCTTAATTAGTAAGTCCTTCGGGCCATCCAGAAGACCTTTGGGCAGGATGTTTTCATATGTCTCTAGACAAACGAGAAAAGTTCCTCATTTAAATCTGAAAATTGAAATTTCTGAAAAGTAAGAAAAGTTTCTTACCTAGTAAACTATTTCCAAGATTGGTAAGTCCTTCGGGCCATCAGTAAGTTTTTCGAGCATGATGAGTAAATCCTTTGGGTCATCTATAAGCCTTTTGAGTAAGATGATAAGTCCTTCGAGCCATCAATAAGACCTTCGAGCAGGATATTTTCGCATGATTTTTCAAATAATGAGAAAACAATTTCCAAAGTTTCTCATTAAAATCTTTTTTGAAAAAATAAAATTTTTGGAAAACCAATTCAAAGTCTTAAAAAGAAAGAGGTTCAGTTGACACTTAAGTCGAGGTAGATTCCTATATTTAGTGGTTGCGAGACAAGTTTCCACAAGAAAATTTGATTTTCAAAGATTATCATGAAATCCCAAGACTTTCAGGTATGATGTATTTGAATTGTCAAACACATGCTAACAAGGGTTAATGTTTAATTTTTAGATTTGAAATTCTTGAAGATAAAAGAAGAAAATTGAACACGATTTAATATTCCCTAAAGAACAATGGAATGAATCAACATTTCCATATATGAGTTTCCCTCAAGAAGAAGCGGAACAGGTCATTCTCTTTCAAGATTTGATATTCTCCGAGTAAAAGTGGAACAAGTATGCCTCGATTCAATTTTTTCTAAAGAACAGTGGAATGAATCAAAGTATCCAGATCTGATTTTCCATTAAGAAGAATCGAAACATATCCCTCTCTTTAAAGATTTGATATTCCCTGAGTAACAGTGGAACAAGTCTTCCTCGATTCAATCTTCCCTGATGAACAGTGGAACGAATCAAAGTCCCCAAATCTGATTTTCCCTCAAGAAGAAGCAGAACATATCCCTCTCTTTCAAGATTTGATATTCCCTAAGTAATAGTGGAATAAGTCTTCCTCCATTCAATCTTTCCTGAAAAATAGTAGAATGAATCAAAGTCCCCAGATCTGATTTTCCCTCAAGAAGAAGCGGAACATATCCATCTCTTTCAAGATTTGATATTCCCTGAGTGACAGTGGAACAAGTCTACCTCAATTTAATATTCCCTGAAGAACAGTGGAATGAATCAAAGTCCCCAGATCTGATTTTTCCCTCAATAAGAAGTAGAACAGATCTCTCTCTTTCAAGACTGGATATTCCCTTAGTGACAGTGGAACAAGTCTACATCGATTCAACACTCCCTGAAGAACAGTGGAATGAGTCGACATTTCTTGATCTGATCTACCCTGGAGAAACAGTGGAGCAGATCTCTCATGAGACTTTTGAAAATAGATTCGAACGGACAAAAACTCATTGTCTCTTCCTCTTTGCCTTATTCTTGTTAACACAAGAATGTATAAAGAGGGGCAGCTATAGACACCAGTTTATGTACGGGTTCTAATTTATCAATATATTATTATTATTACTATTTATTTTTATTTTCAGGTTACAAATCAGACCAAACAGAGGTCCAAAACAAATTACAAATGACCCAACATTACAACCCAATTGAAACAGGCTCGAGCCAACCCAATAAGCCCAAACCGAAGTGAACCTAAGTTTCTACGTTTTGCAGAAACCCTAGCTCTCATCAGCTTCCACTCACCCCTCATCTCAACCGTTGGAACTGCCTAGATCCAATGATCCTAATCTTTGGATGATTAGTGTTTTACCCTAAGGTTATTCAGCCACCACGTGCCAAGTTGCCGCCGTCATGCACTCCACGCGTGAGATGCGCGCGCCTGTGATTCTCCACTTCTCGAGGACTGCCACTGCCGTCGGGAAATTCGTTGGTCACCACGAAAGCATATAAAAGGAGCCTCGAGTAAAACTATTTTACCCCGTTTGTACGTACGTCACCACCTGTCGACTGAAGTGTCTCACTCTCCTCGGTCAGAGCACGAAAGTCGAAAGAAGCAAAAAGAAAAAAATAAAATAAGAACAAAAATCAGTAAGATTATTCCCAAAAGATGCTACATCGAAAATGAAGAAAGAGGAAAAACCTTTTTCAATAATATAGCAACACAAGGACATTAACAAGGGGAGTTTTCTTCTATTCAATACAACAACTAAAAAATCGAAAGGGGTAGAGATAACACAAAAATTAGAAAAAGAAAAAAGGGTTCTAGGGATTTTTCGAAGAGAAAAAATGGGGGGGGAAACTAAAAATTCAGAGAAAGGGATTTTGAAAAGTGAAAAAAGAGAAAAAAAATCGGAGAAGAGAAAGAGACTTACCCTTGGAGCCAACTCTCACCACCGGAGGGAGAAACGATGGTCAAAAATCGAAGGTAACCCCTTCGTTTTGCTTAGATCAAGGGCAAGGGGTTTATTTTTTAGGAGATTACTTGTCATTTTCGGGTTGGGGAAAAATAAAGGAGTGTTCTGGGCTTTTTTTTTTAACTCCAGCTGCCGTGAGCAATGGAGAAGGGCTCTGGTGAGCGGTGGTCGGAGGCTGTCGGCCTCCCCCGGTGAGGAAAAGAATAGAGAGGGCAGAGGAAAATTTGTTTTCCCCTTTTAAAGAGAGAGTGGAATTAAATAAATGAATGGTTGATGACATTTTTAGCTTTGGGTTTGGGTATATATACCCACTCTAGGACGACGCCGTTTTAGGAAGGGAGAATTTGTGTTTCAGTGCGTGGGTAAACCCCTCCCCGAGTCCCTCTAATTTTGTAACATTTTGATTTGGTCTCTGAAATAGATTCTCGTTTGTTCCAATTTGCACTTTAAATTTTACCCGCGTTCTGTCTAGGTCCCTTTGCACTGGTTATTTTATTTTTATGCTTATCGTAGTTTAAGTACCCCATTTTAATAACTTCTATTTTAGTTTTGAATGTTGATGATGGTTTTATTACGATTCTAGTACCTAGTTTGCATGACATTTTTGTTTATGGCCATGATTTTTGTTGGTTTATAGCTTAATCCCCAAAGTTGTCATCTGTTCACTCCAGTATTCATTCATATATTCGATTAATTTTTTATTACTTGCATTTAAGTTTCTTGTATTTATGGTATTTTTTTCAAGTCCTTGTTGGTTTCTCTTTATCGGAAATGCATATTGTATTAGGATAACATGTTGTACGAGGAATTTATGAAAGCATACCTTAACTAACAAAGAGTTTGTTTCCTAGAATTGTTCATACAAAACAATATATATTTTCTTCTTTTTTTACATCTCAATGACTCTTATTATATATATGATTTATTAAAAATTAGGGTAATATTATTTTGTATGGAGAATCCATGGAAATGCCCCCTTAACTGACAAGGAATGTATTTTCGAGAATTGTTCGTACAAAATAATACCCTCTCTTAATTCTTCTAAACAGGATCACAATTTAAATGTATATTCAAGTTTGTCAATTTCAATATTCAGATAACGTATAATCGCTTAGGTATCGATTTTGGGCACTGTGTGGTGCTAATCCTTCCCCACACGTAATCGACTCCTGAACCCTTTTCAAAACGAATTTTTGGTTAATTGCATATTACTTTTTATCTTTAAAAATTCTTTTTCTTAAAATTATTTTAAAAGATATTTTTTTAGGTATTCAACCTACCTAACCCAAAGGTCGATGGTGACTCCAAATTTGTTTATTTATGCATTTATTTTAAAACCCAACCTTTTCCAAATTTACGTTGGATCGCTCCCCACCATAGCCCTAAAAAGCTTAATGATTGTTCCGAATGTTATCACTTTTATTTAATTTTCTCACTAACATGAATCAAAATTTCAATGACTAAACATTTAAAAGTCGATAAAGAATGTGATCACATCTTAATCAAATAAAAAAATATTATCATATCTTAATCAAATAAAATAAAAATGATAAAATATTATATCTTTAAAATTTAATAGTAAAAAATGTACAAAACTTAAATGAAAGTGATCAATAACGATAATGATAAAAGTCATATAATAATAATAATAATAATAATAATAATAATAATAATTAAAAACAGGAAAAAAAGAAGAAGAAAAAGGCCAACACGCGTTGAGTTATCGATGGGTCCAGATGCAGATCCTGGTACGGGTTGAGTTATCGATGATTGTAAAATTAAAGAGCTTTGAGTGGAATGCTTGTGTCTATCTTGTTTGCTCATTAAATTGATAATGAAAATTGAGGTAAAAACAATTATTATAGAGGAGGGTGTATGTGTCGAGAACCGTTTTCGTCCCGACACAATTATTATAGCAACATTCCAAGAAAATAAAAACCAAAATAGTTGAAAAAACAATAGAAACAATGCAACAAATTTAAAAGTTCACCATAGCATATGAAAAACTAGTCCTAATATCATAAAATAAAAAGAATATAATAAACCCTAACTAAAGAAACGGTGTCACCAGCTTTGGTTTTGGGTAATCTGATGGAACCTGGGTTGAAACCATGCACCTTGTTTCTTACAAACCCTACTGTTTTCATATGGCACTATCCTATTCCTACGAGCATTGTCACAAGAGATAACCGTCCCACAAATTGAGACTTGAGACATATCATCCGATGCCAATCGTTCCTTCAACTTATTCTTCTCACCCACCTGGCTGAATCTTAAACCCGTTTCCGATTCAGTACAAACTACTCTCCCGTGGCACAACTTCGACGTCTCGATCTCAAAAAACACCATCGAATACCAGTCGTCTATGAAGTAAAACTCGCCTTTAAGGAAAGCCGCGTGTTTTATGTTCCTGCAGATTGTGGATGCGAGTTTGTGCTTGGTCCAAGAAGTGGCTCCGCGACGTATCACATACAATTCAACTTCGGTTTCAGTTTGTCTAAGGACGGACACCACGCAGTCGTTCGACGTCGGTGGAGCCGAAAAGAACGCTACGTGGTTGGAGATTATCGAGTGAGGGAACATCTCCGGAATGTCAATTTTGGCACGGGACAAAACGCAAAGGAAGAACATCGAACCTTCACGGAATAGTAGGAGCCACCCTTGGCTCGATGCTAGGCAGGTTGTTCCGTTCAGTTCTGGGATATCAATGGCGTGTTTCTTAGTGGAATATTCAGTAACCAATGTGCATGTAGAATTATCATCGCCGTATAATATGAACCACGGCTCATGATCCGGTAAGGCTTCGACCTTGTCGGAGGCAGCGGAAGAGGCCGCGTGCCAGTCCTTGCAGACGGCTCGGAATCTGATAAGCTCGTTTAAGGCTAAACGGTCAGCAATGGATGATAGAATAGGAAGATCAGTCCATTCCCTCTTTGACATCTGGTCACGTTTCACTAACCTGGAGACAATTGTATATTTCATGTTCATCAGTATAAATTATAGCTAATTTTTCAAAAAACCCTTCATCCAAACATCAAATCAAACAAAAACATGAGGTGTTCAGATATTTTTATCATAGTTCATAAAGATGAAGTAAGAAAGTAATGGAGTTCTGGGATTATAATACCTTAGACATTGATTCTGGGCTGAAGAATTCGCCATGGAAAACATGAATATGAGGATGGATTCTGAAGAAGAAGAATATTAATGTTTTAAGCAAAGAAACCCTACCCTCACGAGAGTTTCTTTCAACTAAGGTCTCCTTTTCAACAATAACTCAATCCTTTCCTCTCTTTTAATTAAAGCATGTAATCTTGTATGTGAAAATTTTAAGTTTAATTAATTTCAGGGTAAAGTACACAAATGGTCCCCCAACTATAGGATACTATTTTGTTGAATCTCCTAACTATTAAAACTATAAAATAGTCTCTCGATTATAGGGCATTGCTTTATTGAGTCTCTCGGCTATTAATAGTTACAAAATGATCACTCGTCTATTCATATATTTCAAGTGAAATATGATAAAATATGATCTTCGAACTGTTTCAAGTGTATAGTCGTTTGAGATTTTAGGATCTCAAATATAAAAATGGTCACTTGATTTTTCATATGTTCCAAACTCAGGATTTTCTATTAAAAAATTTATGATCGTCTGAGCTAGATGTTAACATTCTAACTAGATATGATAAAATCTGATCCCAGAATTGTTTCAACTGTAAAGTCACTTGATATTTTAAGATCATATTTTATCATATCTAGTCAGCAGATTAACATACTATTCATAATGTCGTTGATTTTTAAAGAAAAGGGACAAGATTAGGACATATGAATAATCAGAAGATCATTTTATAACTTTCAATAGTAATAGGACTCAACTAAGCAATACCCTATAGTTGAGGGACTATTTATGTACTTTACCCTTAATTTTCACATGTCGGTAACATCATTATCGATACAACATCATTTTATATTTTAAATATATTTTATATATAAATAATTACATTTATTCAGTATAAAAAATTTAATATATTTATTTAAGAGTCTACACTTGAATCAAAGTTTTATGTTTGCATTTGAATCAAAATGCATATATATAAGTACAATTTTTATTCAAGTATCAAATTAAAAATTGGGGTTAAATTTCATGTATAGAGTTAAAAATTATCTTAATATTGAGTGAATAGTTTATCGGAATAAATATATATTATTTGTATAATGCTTTAAATTATTCGAACTTTTCTCATCCACAAATCAAAAAATTGGAGCATATGAGTCATTCTAATATTATTGAATTTATCTTTTAGTTAATTTATTTTTTTTATCCTGTAATATGATAAACTTTTTTTTATCATGTTTTGTTTCTTTATTTTTTTTCTCGATTTTCTTTTGTTGTTGCTGTTTTCCATTATATTTAGGTATTGGTAAAGATTGTTAATTTTTAAGAGGAGGTTTGAATGTTAGTAATTTTGTTTAGTTGGTGAGAATTTTTGGAACTAAATGAAAAAAATATTAAGATTTATGTAAAAGCGTAAAAAATATGAGATTAAATCAGGTTAGAATAGATTTTCACCTCGAAATTCAGCATGAAATTAGGATTATTGAAATATAACCAAAAGCCGGGTTGAAATTAAGATGACAAAAAAATTACTTATACCACCTTATTATACTTTGTAAATTTGTTTTGGCTTAATCTAAAATGATTATAAAATAATATATATTCTAATGTGATTGTTGGTTCTCAAACCCATGACCCTCATAAAACAATAATGATTCCTTTCAACATACTAAAAACATGTCCTCCAATATATTATAATATTAACGATAATATTCAAACCAAGATTCAAACAATTAAATAAATTTATTTTGCACTTTCACCTATTCAAATTTAATTCAATTAAATACATTTTAAATTATAAATGGTATGCTTTACATTTTCCGTTAAAATTTAATCTTTATGTATAAAGTATTTTCCTTGAAAATAAATATTATGCATACAATACAAACTTTTTACTGTGATATGAAAACAAAGTTGTCTAGTGGTATTATTCTCGCTTTGGGTGCGAGAGGTATTGAGTTCGATTCTCGGAACGCCCCTTTTTTATTTTTAATAATATTTTTTATAGCTTGGAGGCATAAAACGGAGACACGTGGGCATCTTCATATAAGACCCAAAAAATGTAATAAAAAAACAAAACCGATCAGTTTTTAGGTCATTATATTATTTTGAGTAAACTGAACTCAAGGTCACTTCTATTTTTGATTCATCTTATTTTGGTCACCAGTTTTGAAAAAGCTATACTAACCATGCCTTCAAGAAGAAGGTGATTGTTATGTATGTGGAAAACCAGGTCATCATGCTCATCAATGCAGAAAGAGAGCAAAAAAGAATAATCCTCCTCAGCCAAGGGTTAACTTGGTTGAAGAAGATGACATAATAATTGTTCTGATTTCTCAAGCTCATTCTGTTGCCGGTGTGAAAGATTAGGTGGTAGACTCTGGTGCTACAAAGCAAATTTTGCTGATAGAAATACCTTTTCCTCTCCTACATATGTAGGGGATGAAAATAAGATGATCTATCTTGCTGATTCTCGCAAAGCCAAAGTGCTTCGAAAAGGAAAAGTAGCATTGAAACTCACATCTGGAAAGACATTGGAGTTAACTGATGTACTATATGTACATAATATCAGGATGAACTTGATTCCGGTTTCTCTCTTGATTAAGGCTGGGGTGAAAATTTCTTTCGAATCTGATAAGCTAGTAATTACTAAGAACAATGTTTTCATTGAGAAAGGTTATTGGAACTAGGGATTTTTTGTGCTGAATGTTTCTGAAAATATTAATGATGCATCTTATTCTTTGGCTTACTTGGTTGATTCGATTGATAAATGGCATGCAAGATTATGACATGTAAGTATTTCTTATATTTAGAAAATGCGATTATTGGGTTTAATATCTGGGTTTAATAATGAATGCTTTGATAAATGTAAAACCTAGGTTGAGTCTATATTGAATAACAAATCTTATCGTCTTGTTCATAGGGAGACCGAATTACTTGATTTAATTTACGCTAATTTAGGAGACTTGAAACAAACCATGACTAGAGGTGGCAAAAATTATTATGTAACTTTTATAAATGATTATTCAAGATATACTAAAGTCTATTTGCTCAGAAACAAAGATGAAGCCTTTAACATGTTTCTAATTTATAAAGCTGAAGCTAAAAATCAGATAAATAAAAGAATTAAGAGAGTTAAATCAGATAGAGGTGGTGAATATGTTTTTTACAATGATTTTTGTGAAAAGGAAGGTATAATCCATGAAACAACTCCTTATTCACCTCAATCATATGGTGTTACTGAACGAAAATATAGAACCCTTAAAAGAAATGATGAATGATATGCTTATTAGTTCCTTTGCACCTGATAATTTATGGGGTGAAGCATTGTTATCTGCGTGTCATTTACAAAATAAAATACTTTATAAAAAGACTGGTAAAACACCATATGAATTATGGAAAGGCTATTCCCTAACCTTAAATAATTAAAAGTGTGGGGGTGCCCTGCTAAAGTCATGTTGTCGGATTTTAAAAAGAGGAAAATTGATTCTAAAACTTCAGATTGCATGTTCATAGGTTATGCTGAACATAGTGTTGCCTATAGATTTCTTGTTTTAAGAAGTGACGTACTTGATCATAACACTATTATTAAAACAAAGAATGCTGAATTTTTTGAGAATGTGTTTCCTTTGAAATTAGCACAAACTTGTCATGCTATTCCAAATAACACTTCTAGTTTTAATGAACCATAACAAAGTGAATATGAAAATTCTTTTGAGGATTTAAGGAGTAAGAGGCAAAGGAAAACTACTTCCTTTGGATATGATTTCTACGCTTTCCTTGTTGACGATGATCCGTTAACATTTTCTAAAGCTATTTCTGATGCACCACTTTGGAAAGAAGCAATTAAACTAAAATTGATTCAATTTTACAAAACAAGACTTGGATTTTAGTTGATTTACCTCCGGGTGCCAAACTTATTGGTTGTAAATGGATTTTTAAAAGGAAATATAATCCTATTGCTTCTATACGAATTATAATAGCACTGGCTTCAATTTATAAACTTTTTGTACACCAAATGGACGTTAAAACTACTTTTTTTACATGGTGACTTGGAAGAAGAAATTTACATGGTGTAACCTGAAGGTTATATTATTAGTGGTCAGAAAAATAAAGTTTGTAAACTTACTAAATCTTTATATAGTTTAAAACAAGCTCCCAAACAATGGCATGAGAAATTTAATAGTGTTTTGATTTCATATGATTTCTCCTCTGTTGAAGTTGATAGAGGTGTGTATACCAAATGCTCGAATAACGAGTGTGTGATTATTTGTTTGTATGTGAATGACATGCTTATTTTTGGAACTAACCTTGATATCATTCATAAAACCGAAAATGCTCCTGGCTTTTAAATTTGATATGAAAGATATGGGTGAAGCAAATGTAATATCGGGAGTTAAAATCATAAGGAAAGAGAATTGCATCATGATTTCTCAAGAACATTGTGTTGAAGAACTTCTAAAAAAGTATGGATACTTTTTGATGTATCACCTGTGAGTAACCCTTATGATGCTAACACTCAAAGAAAAATAGAGGTGATCTAGTAGCTCAATCTGAATATGCACAGATTATTGAGAGTCTGTTGCATTTGATGAATTTCTCTCGTCCTTGCATAGAATATGTTGTGGGTAGACTGAGCAGGTATACACATAGTCCCAGTAATGATCATTGGACTGCAATAGTCAGATAAATGAAATACTTGAGAGGTACAATTAATTATGGTGTTTGTTACAGTCGATTTCCCGCTGTACTGAAAGGTTACAGCGATACAAAATGGATTTCAGATTCAGATTAGACAAAGTCCACTAGTGGATACGTGTTCACCTTAGGAGGTGGTACAGTATCATGGAAATCAACAAAATAAACTATCATTGCTAAATCAACAATGGAGTCTGAATTAGTTGCTTTAGAGTTGACTGGTAATGAGGCTGAGTGGCTAAGAAATTTCTTGGCTAATATTCCTTTGGGAATAAAACCAAAATCTTCCGTATCTATGTATTGTGATTGCCAAGCGGCAATACCTATAGAAAAAAAAATAAAACATTTAATGGTAAAAATAGACATGACGTTGTGAAGCAGCTATCGAAGGATGGAATAATTTCCATTGGTTATGTGAAGTCAGAACTGAATCTGGCCGATCCCCTAACCAAACTTTTAGGGAGAAAACTAATATATGGAACATCGAGGGGAATGAGACTTGAGCTAATTTGAAATCAATAATGACAGAAATCCAACCATTGATTGGAGAACCCAAGAAAGAGGTTCATATAGGTAACAAGTCATATATTGATTCTTTTAGCATTAATTATACGAGTATGGGGTGAGGCCGCTCCTATGAGAATATGACAAAATCTTTAGAGCACTCGTGGAAAAACCAGGCACACGCATGGCCTGTTAACGTAAAACAGCGTTAAGCAACAGAATTGTGCGAGTGTAATGTGATATGTAAGAAACCAATATACAACGGGAGTTTTTAGTTCACAGAAACTTGTTTCACTACCTACTCTGTGTATTTGTCATACTTATCTAGTTCTAGTTCGTAGTCCATTAGAGACCAGATTCGAAAATTACACCTTTATTTTTTAACCCAACATATAATCTGAGAATTTCTTTTGTAATATGTGAGAGATTGTTGTAAAATAATCATAAACATATATTACAAAATAATTCTCATATTCTTGGACTGTTAAAATATATATTTTTTAATTTATTTTAGCTTGTCTAGAGAGAGTTAAATTAGTTGCCATAAAAATAGCTTTGACTTGTTTTCTTTCTACTATTTTCAAATTCAAATTTGTTAAAATTTTATCCTATTTTGGTGGAAGAATTCATGGCAGTAATCAACGTGTTTTTATTTTGGAGATACGTGAAAACAGTATTTTCCCCCCTCTTGCTTCTGATCCTATGTTCTTATTTCTTAGAAAGGCTTGTTGAATCCTGAGGGCTTCGAAATAAACCTCAAGGACAGTGTCCTTTCACATGCCTGAAGCCGAATTTTTACTTAACAATCAACCCTCTTAGGTTTGATCTAATTAATATTACTTTTGTAAAAAAGTTACACCAAATTCATAGGGTTCAATAAAGAAAAGAAGTTGGAACATTTGGAAATAGAAATGTAAAATATCATCATCTTAATTCAGCTTCAATCTCAAACATTGAACACTTGATGGATCCCATGTATATGCCAATGTCAACCAGGTTTTCATCTTCATTCTTGTTGTTCAACTCTACTAGAAGCTTCGCTGAACTCTGTTGCTGGAAAATGGATTCCGGTATGAAGTCTGGTAATTATTTGGCTGGTCTTCTTTGTGCTTTACGTAATGTCCCCCCGTAAGTAAGATTTCAATGAGACTATCCTCGTCGGATATGGATCCTTCGTCCGAGCAATCGGCTGTTCGATCCATGTTATCCCGAAATGGCCAGTCTACTTCGGAGCCTTCGGTGGTTGATAACTGATAATCGACGCGTTTATTTTTAGATAAGAAATCTCGTGATTTGACTATATAGTCACGGATATGGTAATCGTAGGAACAACTTTCCTCTTCTAAGTTTTGCTTTCTAATTTCAGTTCCAGCTGTTATACTCAATATTATACCTTCGGAGGTTTCCTTCCACTTAACATATTGAACTCTCCACGAATAAAGACAAGATTTAGACTCGCTCAAACGACAAACCGTGAAAATAATAGCTAGACAAATTGACCTGGCATAATCGAAAAAAGTATAGTATAAAATCAGCCCCATGAATGCGATGGATATCTTCGAACACACGCCTCGATTCAAGCCACTTTATTATATTTCCTCGACTAAAGGGGGACAAGTTGTTATACCTTCGAATGTCACCTCCAGAAACTGCCAACTCTCCGTTAATCGAGACTTTAGGATAGAATCCTTCACTTACCGAAACTTCCAATTCACTTACCAAAACTTCCAAGGAATTCCATATCCTCTAAGCACAAGAGCATCATATCCTCCAAGCCAGCTACAATGCATAGACAAGAGCCCTCTAAGAGGCTCACGTGATCTACTAGAGTGAAATCAAAGATCTGATAACCATATCTATTTAACCTACTGACCTACGAGTATTCACAATTAATTGATGTCTGACACCATCAATTAAGGTCACTATAAATATCTCTTAACCACACTTGATGGATGGGGTTTCTCCACTTTTCCTCAATGCATAGACAAGAGCCCTCTAAGAGGCTCACGTGATCTACTAGAGTGAAATCAAAGATCTGATAACCATATCTATTTAACCTACTGACCTACGAGTATTCACAAATTAATTGATGTCTGACACCATCAATTAAGGTCACTATAAATATCTCTTAACCACACTTGATGGATGGGGTTCTCCACTTTTCCTCCTTCACTCCCATCTTCCACCTCTATGCTTTTGTCTCTCTCACAGATAAACACCAATCAACGACTGTTATCTCACCAGTCATGACTCTCCTCCTAAACAAGGAGATAACCACCTACAACCAACGAGGCCAAATTACCATCAACACTCCACTATTTCAGGGGGATTATTTGAAATCTTTATACTAATTTTTATTTTAAAAAATGAAATATATGCTTTTGTTCCATCTTTCAAAATTCAAACTATAGGCTTTTTAATCTGTTATATTTGTGTTTTTTCTCCTTTAATCTGGTTTTTAGTTTATCTTTTGGTAATTCGTAAACATGCAGGAACATATGTTTTATTCTAATATTTTTTTTAATTTATCTTTTAATTATTTTTATTTTTTTCTCTTCTAATCAGATAAACTTTTTGATCATGTTTTGCTTCTTTATTTTTTTCTCGAAATTTAAATATTGGTGACTTCATTTGGTTGATGAGAAAATTTAAGATTAGGTGAAAAATTATGAGATTAGTGTAAAAGTATAGGATAATGCGATATCAAATCAGGTCGGGATAGATTTTTTCTCTGTCTTTGTGACACGTTTTTCATCTTCTTTCTCGGTCGTTTGGCCACTCTTTTTATTTTATGTTTTCTCAGGGTTAGATTTGATGACGTCACGATTGATCAAGATTGTGTTTATTTGTAATCATGTTGATATTCCCTGTTTTGGACACTCGGATTGAATTTGGGTACGCGGTTTTGCATTCGTGGATAATTTCTCAAGATGCTCAGCTCTGATCTACGGTTCTCAGTGATTTTTCAATAGCTTAATCCCTTTTTATGGTTTGTTTTCCGATTTAGTCAGATTTGTTTGTATATTTTTTTTGTTCGAATATTTTGGTTGTATTTTTAATATTTTCCATGTATGATCCGTGTTTGATCTAGAGTGACTAATTTTTTGTGTCAATATTATAGGAAAATATCCAAATCATATATTTAATTTACAATGATAGTTATAAACATTTACTGTAATTTTAAATATTTTCTTTTTTAATAAGACTAGAACTTCTATTAAAAAAATAACATTCACATTAAGACTTAAACAACTAAATAAATAGATGCATTTTTAAAAATAAAAGTAATAACCATAATTTTTTATGTCATTATTATATTTAATTTATTTTCACTTTCGCAAAATAATATATGTTCCATTGAAATTGAATTCAATAAATACATAAATTATAAATAGTATGCTTTACAGTTTTCGTTATGGTTTAAACTTTAGGTTAAAAGTATTTCGTAGAAAACAAAACTTATTTATTTAGTCTTATATTATTATTATGAAAGTATGACAACGTGGGTGTTCTAGTGGTATGATTCTCGCTTTGGGTGCGAGAGGTCCCGAGGTCGATTCTTTGAACGCCCTTCTTTGTTTTTGTTTTTAATCAATAGTTTTTAGCTTGGAGGCATAAGAAGGAGACACGTGGGCATCGTAGTCTATTTTTAGGTGTATTAATTTTTTAATTTCCCCCCCAAAAAAAAGTTGCAATACTATTTTTTTTATTTATTTTTTTGGATAAATGCAATACTATTTTTGTTGGTTAAAAATGTGGTATTCTGTCTCCTCATGATCTTTACCCATGTGTTTGCTTCAAGGATTGTGGGATTCTCATGGGATGGAAATTCTACATTCTCATGTTTGGTTGATCGGGAATCTCATTTCCGGTGATGTTTTATTACCAATAATAGATTTTTAGGGTATATTAACGGGAATGTCATTACCTCCATTCCCTTAGGTATTGTAACATTACCAGCGTTTTGGACTAAAATACCTTTAAATTTTTATTTTTTTTCAAAAATATTTTTCTTCTGTCATTGAATAATAAAAATTCTACGAAGGTTAAATTATAAATTTATCCTTAAATTATTTTAGATTTACAAAAAAAATCTATAATTAAAATTTTATATGAAGTTAAGGGGTTAAAAAAATTATCCTTTCATTAAACTTTTTTTATATTTTTAATTTTGTAAAAAAATTATATAAATATTATGAATTTAATTTTTTTAAAGAAAATATATAAATATTTTATAATTTGTAATATTATACAAATATATAATAAGGTCAATTTGATCAAATATACATTCTAATAATCTTTTATTCCTTTAACTAAACACGATAATATTACATTTCTGTTAAATCAACCAAACACAAAATACAACATTCACAATAATATTCTCTAATAATCTTTTATTTCGACTTAATTCCGTCGACCAAACGCAATTTGAGCTTTTAAGGCAAATTATCATTGATCACTGCGAAAAACCCACACTAACGACGGTTCCAACACATGGAATGGCTTATCATCCTAACCCCACTGACACTCTTCTCTTTGAGTCTCACTCCCAATCTGGTAATCCTTTTTTTCATTTTAATATTTCAATTGTTGCTTCTTTTTCTTTCTCGTTAATCTCCCAGAAAAGTTTGATCAAAATAATTACTATAAGACTTGGTCTAAATGGATTTTTACCCTGTTGATGATGATTTAGGAAGTGATAAAGATGGAGAATTTGATGAAGATGGGTATGAAAAAACTTCCGTTTTATATGATTCTGTAGTGCCTGATAGTCCAATCAATGAAAATGAAACCCAGTTGGAGAAAGTTTGCTTTCACACTGAATTAGTGGATGAATATCATTCTGATGATGATATGGGTCATAATGAAATTGTGCTTGATAGTGAGGATGAAGGACGTTGTAGAATCCCATGTTTAGATTCTGCTGATTCAATTGACAAACAACTCGGTGCAGGTTAGTTTTTCATTGGTTTTTTTCTTTTAAAAATGTATTCAATATGATTGCTTTTTGTTATTGTTTTGTTTGAATCTTTTGGTGTATAGTATGAATTAGTAAATAATTTCTTGTTGCTTTTATTGAAGGGAAGAAATTGTCTTCGGTGAATAATAATAGCAGTGATGGAAAACAAGAAGATGATCATGAGATTCGAAGGTTGCAATATGTCAGTTCTCCGGAATCCAAAGAATCGTCCCAAGCTACTGCACTTTCCTTTGTGGATAACTTCTTGAGCTTTAATACTGTGGATATGTGTCAAGGAGTTGAAGAGAGAACAAAGATTAAATCACCTCTTGTTTCCACTGCAAAGGGAACTCGACGTTTGGCTAAGATAATCAAGCGGGGATCTCCGGTCAAAGAAATGGGAGCCTTTGAATGGTTTGAGAGTTGTGGGCAAGCAGAGGCCGACTCCTTTATCAAGAGAGGGTTGGTGTCTTCTGAATTTGGAGACTTCAGCCATCATGATCTTTATAATAAAGGGTCAAGAAGCATAAGCAACAAGCATGAAGAGGAGCTTGTACACCTTCACAATGACATTAGAGGTCCGAGTCATTCAATTTTCAAGGATCATTGTTCGGAAGCAAGTACCGGGATAGAAAAAGAATCAGAAGGGAATGTTATAAATGGATATTTAAAGGAGTTTGATGAGCTCATGCCAACAAAATCATCTTCTGAAAATTTTGAAGTCAGTGTTACTGCAAGAGACGTACCAGACGTATTTGATGTTGGTATTGGCACCCAAATAGCTGCAGAAGCGATGGAGGCTTTATATTACGGCCTCCCTCCTAGTTGCAATTCTGGTGATACATGTGAAGGTCTAGAGAATACCTTCACAGATCTTCAGGAAGGTGAAACAAAGAGTACTACCCATTTGCAGTGGAATTCCCTTCCAAAAGTTGCTGCCTGTGAATCAGGAGAAGTTGCAAAAGAGTCTATTCGAAAAAAGCACTCTGCTAGGAGATTTAACAAGGACATTTCTAGTTCATCGTGCAACTATAATTATCAGAAGTTGAGTCAAAAAGTAAAACCAAATAGATACAAGTGCAAGCAATCTAAGGTAGATGAACCAGTAAGCAGTAACAACCTTAAAAAGTGGATGTATGTGAGTCCATCCATTCCTGATGAGCAAACCTTGCTCGGGAAACAACTGTCACGGGGGGAACCTGTTACTCATAAATCTAGGCACTCAGAGGGTGGAGTTACCGTGAAAAAGAATAATGACCAAGTTGATAAATCAATTGTGATGACCAATAATGTCAATGAGGAAAACATGTTGACATATAAGAGAAAGAGGAAAAGAGTGGCTGCTTATCCACCACCTAAGTTATTGAGTGGCAAGCAGAAATGCTCTCAGCTGCATTCTTTTGCCTCTATTGAAGCTTCTGATGGCCGACCGAGTGAACAACAACAAAGTTGTCCGGAAGAGGCTTCTATAGCCAGGTTATTAAGATTAGATTCATGGAACTGTCCCAAAGGAAAAAGAACACTTCGTAAAGTGCCAATCCATTCCAGTGGACAAAGTAATATGCATGGTTCATTCACTAGTGTTGGCGCAGAAGAACAGAACCTGGATTCTGTCAGAAGTCAAAAAATCCCAGAAGATGGTGAAACCAATTCTAGTAACTTCTACATGAAGGGACAAATGGGAACTAACCTGTCTCGGCTTTCTTTAGAAAATAGTTCTGATGAAATTCTATCAAGAGAGAACTGTAGTGTACAAGTTGCATGTGTTGTTACAAACAGTGATTTAGCAGTCACAAGCATATCTGCTAAGGACTTGGATGGAGCCAAGGCTGCCCAAACTGGGAAGCTAGATTTTGTGGATTCTACATCAATTATCAATGGTTTAAAGAACCATAATTTTGGAGAATCACCAAGAAAGAGTCTTGAATCCTCTGGTACCGAATTCAACATCACGCTTAGTTGTAAAAAGAGTGTGGATATGGCATCACTCAACAATAGATATTACGTTTATCAAAGAAGACCTTGCAACAGAATCTTACCAAAATCATCACTTTTGAAAGAGCTTATGGGACTAGGTATTCCCGACTTAATATCTGATTTTGCACACACAGGTTTTAGAACACGAAAAGGATTGGCACATGTTCGAGTCCTGTTTAGCCAGCATTTGGATGATGATGTAATCAAGCAGCAGAAAAAGGTGTAGCATTTGTTTCTTATTCAGCAGCAAGATGACTCATATATTTAGTTGTATTGTTATTTGACGTCCTTTTATTTTAGTCAGATCTCTGCGCGACTCGGTATTTCTATCACATCATGTTCTATGGATGCCACACATTTCATAGCGGACAAATTTGTGCGTACAAGGAACATGTTGGAAGCCATTGCAGTTGGTAAACCGGTGGTAACACCTCTATGGCTTGACAGCTGTGGACAGACGAGTTGCTTACTTAATGAGAAAAAGTACATCCTGAGGGATGCCAAGAAGGAGAAGGAAATCGGCTTTAATATGGCTGTTTCATTGGCTTGTGCAAGACAATATCCACTTCTAAAGGTGATTATCTGATGATAGCTGATATATTCGAAACCAGATAGTATCTCATTTGGTTGCTACCAACACTTTTTACGTTACCGGAATATCTTATATGCTAACATCTAATACCTCTTGACAGGATAAAAAAGTCTTCATCACCCAAAACGTTAAACCGAACAAAGAGATGATTACTAGCTTGGTCAAAGCAAGTGGAGGCGAGGTATGTGTACCTACCTCCATCGGTGACCTCTGACCTGCAGCTATCAATCACTAGTGGTGTTCAAATATTGTCGATATAACTTCGTCTCTGTTCCTTTCATCTTTGTTATCTTAGGACAATATGATTTACCACTATGATAAAGTAACGACTTCCGGAGAATTGTTCCTCAGGTAGTGGAGACAAGTCGGAAAATGGCAGCAAGAGATCAAAAGATTCAAGTTGATCACTTGATTCTTTCCTTTGAGCAAGATCTAGCAATCTGTACCCTGTCACTCGAGAAAGGTTTTAAAACATTATTTTTATGTTCCATTTCTTTATAATAAATGATCACTCTACTTTGTGGTAATTGAAAATGTTCACTTAATCTGCAGGAGCAGCAGTGTATAGTTCAGAGCTTCTGTTGAACGGGATTGTCATCCAAAAACTGGAATATGAGAGGTAAATGTATTCGAATTCGCAAGAAATAGCCAGTCAGCAGGAACATGTTAATACTCTATGAACCAATCCATAAGAAGCCGCAGGAAGAAAGAATTGCATGAGTCCATAGACATAGGATTTCCCCCTGTTTTTATACTCTTCTTCACTTGCCTCAGTAAATGGAGAGAGTTTGTTGTTATATTTTGTTGTGTTATAATGTTGCATTTTCCACTTGCAGGCATCAACTCTTCCCCAAATTTGTGAAAGAGAAAAGAGCAAGCTGAGAGAGGAATAGACACAGTGGAAGCTCAAGGGAACGTTGATCTACAATAGTTTACTAAAATTAGTGGATCATCTTTGGTTACAATGTCAAGTAGATGGGGTACATATTTTGTTAAACAGGTAGAAATTAAAGGTTACAATGTCAAGTAGATGGTTATACATTTTGATATCCAGTTGCATGTTTTGGCAGTATGGTATGGCATTAGAAACTTGGGTAAACAACACATTTAGTAGTCTAACGATCACTTTTATTCCGTTTTGGTCACCCAACTATTTTTTTCAAAAATCATTCTTAACGTTTAGTTTTAGTTTCATTTTGGTCATTCGCTGTTTAAAAATTAATGGTGATGTTGACGTGTAACCATAAGGTATTGTTCATCATCATTGAAAAAAATAAAATAAATGTTACGTTAGTAGTTTTGTTAACTTTTTTAATGATGGGTGACTTAAATAAAATTAAAATGTAATATTAGATATAATTTTGAAAGAAAAAATAGTTGGGTGACTAAAACTGAACAAAAGTGATAGTTGAGGTATTAAACATGTAGTTTACCCTAGAAACTTTGATGAACCATATAAATTTTGGTGAAATGTAGAAATTTGGATGTGCTGAAATTTTGGTAATCCGTTGGCAATTATAGCATTTTCAAAAGAAAATTGAGGCACTCTAATATATGTTTTGGTGTGGTTTTTAACATTTTTATATTTGTTTTATTATGGCTTTACTTCACTTTAGAATTTTAGAACTTAAATAACTATTTATTTATTTTTTTACATTTCAAACGTCCCAATTAAATTTTTAAAATTTTAATTATGATTGGGTCATATCCAATATGATGTCAGTCCAAAGAGTTATGGATTATTTTATTAGAATAATTTTATAAGCTTAATACTTATTTAGATTATCAACTAATATAAGTTATTTTTTGTATTTTAATTAACTTTATAATACAATTTATAATTAATTAAATCATTTAGTAGTCAAGTCGATATTTGTTTTACACTTAATTGATTTAAATACAATATCAGATTTGATTATAATATGCACAATAAACAAGTAAATAAAATAACATACATAATTTTATTTATCTTATTCAATACGAATGTATTACAATAATTATTCCAAATTACTGTCCTTATGACATAAAACTTCAACAAAAAAAGTTCAATTTTTTATTCTATATAGTATAATGTCTAATTTTAGTTTTCTTTTAGTTACACGTCGTTAAAAAATTAATGGTGATTTTAGCGTGTCACTAAAAGATAATGACACGTCACTATTGAAAAAATTATACGTCAGCAGTTGTGTTATTTTTTAAAGGTAGATTACTAAAATGAAATCAAAGTGTAAAGTTAAGTATAATATTGAAAAAAATAGTTAAAGAATTAAAACGGAATAAAAATGATAGTTAGATACTAAACTTTTGGTTTACTCTGAAAAATATTATTATCTTTACAAAGCTTAAGTCTTCATCTTTTATGGAATTTTTCTCCTTTCGTATTTTTATTTTATCATTTTCAATAATCTTTTTGTGACGCCTTTTCTGCTCCTCGGGAAGTTATAGTCGTTCGTAAATGAATCCGCTTTGAACGAATAAAGTTGAATTTGTGTTTGTTTGTTTGTTTTTTAAAATATTTATGTTTACTTCGTGTTCATTTAAATTTTTAATATTATATTCGTTTATTTATTTTTTAAGGTATTTATATTTGTTCGATTAAAATTCATCAACAAATTCGTTTAACGTTATTTTTAAACTTCAGCGACCAATATCTCTTTTTATCATGTTGTTTGCAAACCAAAGAAAATGATAAAATTACTTCATTGGTACTTAATTTTCTTAAGCTTCATAGTTTGAACTCCAAAGTTCACTTTATATTCAATTTAATCCATATCTTCTAAATATTTAAAATGTAAAAAAAAAAATAAAAGGGAGAGCCGAGTAAACGAGCTTATAAATGAGTCGATAAATGATCCCATAAATAAGTTTCTTCGTACACATAAACGAACCAAATCTGATTATAAATTGTTGACACGATTTATCAATTAAGAGAGGAAAGTGTCTGGATGCTAATAGAGAGGAAAATTTCAACTAAGAGCTCTAAACCACTTGTTTTATAAATTATTGACACAATTTATAAGCCAAATCTGATTATAACCATTTATTAAAATAAATACATCAATTCCGTTTCATATTTAAAATAACACTAATGTAATAATTCCAACTTTCCTCTCAAGATATTAAATTTGAAGGCACTGCTAATGTAACTTTCACATACAACAGCTGTAGCTGCCAATCGCGATAGCCAAGATTTTATGAGGTTTTCTTTCCCTAAAGGCTGCCAGTTATTATTCTAGGCTAATTACATGCTGATCCCTCTATTATAGGGTTTGTATTTATTCAGCCTCTCTTTTATATAGTGTTAGGATTGATGAAACTCAAATTGACAACCGAAAATATTGCCAAGAGGGGTGAATTAGCAAATTAAATTTTTAAAGAGTAAGGAGTAAAAAGAAAGAGAAATTTTCACAACGATTTATAGTAGTTCGACTTATCAACCAAGTCTACATCCACTACCTAAGCTCCTCACTTAGGATTTTCCAACAAATCCACTAATTTGTTATTTCTTTTTCAAGGATCAAGAGTAATCTTTACAACTCCCTATCTTTTCACTTGGATAAGATAAAACCAAAATGTACACTAAGAAAACCTCTACAAGGTAGGATGTTTACAAATTAAAGCTCACAAAAACACAATATTTACAAGAAAAATAAAATAAAGAGTGAAAAACTTTTCTCGTGTTTAATTGCTTTCCAACCTTCTTCAAGTGTCTTGAACTTGTATTTATAAGTTGGAATGTGTTTAATTGCTTTCCAACCTTCTTCAAAAGCTCCCCCTTAATAAAAGCATTCCAAACAAAAAATTTGACTTGTAAAAGCTTGACACTTAAAAGAAATTGAATTTGAACAAAGATGAACAAACATGTTAGTAGCACATGAAATTCAATATATCCAAATCTAATAAACTTTATGCAATACCAATTGTTGAAATTAAGTGCATGTGCATAAAGCTATTTAAAAATGTTATACATTTGAAAAATTGATATCAATTGTTAGAGAGATATCATTTTGCAATAAATCACATGCATAAACATTTAAATTAAGGTCAAAAATTAAAATTTGTAAAGACAAAGCATTTGAAAAATTGATATCAATTGTTAGAGAGATATCATTTACATTTAAAACCAATTTTGACCAAAATTCTTTATGATGAACTAAAAATTATGAAAAATCATTAAAATCAAAACTCATGCATGCTTAAAACTAAATAGGCAACCAATTAATCAAAAACAAAAGCATTAAGCTTAGAGGTTACTCATTCTTTTTCAAGTGTGGCTAGAGCATCTCAATTTCTTCACTTTTTCATCATCCTACAAGAGACTTTTATTTGGATTTTGGTATCCAAATTGCTTTGGATCCTTGAACATTAGTTTCAATGTCCCTTGTTCCCTTTGGAACCCATACTTGTATAATTTTAAAATGTTTTACTTTCTTTAAAGGACAAATATGTTCCAAATGATCATGAAATGTCAATGTGAGCATTTTGCCATTTTTAACATATATGAATTGATTTTATAAATTATTTCTTTTTCTTTTATTAAGCATTCAAGCTTAACTTTCAAATCAAGATTTTCTTTTTCCAAATCATTGATTTTGATTTTTGAAAGTTCAAAATGATTTTTCAAAATTTTATTTTGTTTTTCAAAATCCAATTTCTTATATTTGAAATTCACGGTCTCAAATTCCAAATACAATTCATCATAGGCAACTTGTAATTCATCAAAATAATAAGAATTTAATTCACTAGAGTTAAAAGTTACCATTGAATCTTCATTGATGGCCATAAGGCATAGGTTGGCTACTTGACATGCCCCGTTCTTCGACAATTAAAACACACCGGGGGACACTTCTTTTTGCTTGATTCATGCTTCACTTCCTTAGAAGATCTTATGAAGAGTTTGGTCATCTCTTCTTCATCATCATCATCTTCATCCACCTCTTCACTTGAGTCTTGATTGCTCTCGTTGGTGGATTTGAAGACAATGTCTACCTCATTCATCTTGTTGTTTTTCTTCTCTTCATTTTCTTCTTCTTCCATTACCATCAACTCATGAGTGAGAAGAAAACCAATATGCTCATCAAGAGTGAGAGTCTTTAGGTCCTTAGCTTCGATGATCGTCGTCTTCTTCGATTACCAAGACTTTGGAAGAGAGTAGATCATCTTCTTCACAAGCTTCTCATTAGGGATCACTTCTCCAAATCCCTTCAAACCATTAACAATCACGAAAAATCTATTTTTCATAGCTTTGATCGTTGGCTTAAATGAAGAGCATCATCATATTCTTCCAATAGACATAGTTTGCTCCATTGAAATAAGGTGGCTTGTTGTCTAGTTGAGAGTCTTCAATGTAGTAAGAGTCGAAGGTTGAAGTCATCTACTCAGTTGCGTTAGGAATTGATAGAGCTTCTTCAAGGATGGTCTCAAGGTTGTTAAATCTTCTAATGAGTCAAGCTCTATTACCAATTGCTAGGATTGATGAAGCTCAAATTGACAACCGAAAATATTGCCAAGAGGGGTGAATTGGCAAATTAAAGTTTTAGGGAGTAAGTAGTAAAAAGAAAGAGAAATTTGTACAACAATTTATAATGGTTCAACTTATCAACCAAGTCTACGTCCACTACCTAAGCTCCTCACTTAGGATTTTCCAACAAATCCACTAATTTGTTCTTTCTTTTTCAAGGATCAAGAGTAACCTTTACAACTCCCGACCTTTTCACTTGGATAAAATAAAACCAAAAACCCCTTTTAAAAGGAAAAGAATGTAAACAAAGAAAACCTCTACAAGGTAGGGTGTTTATAAATTAAAGCTCACAAAAACACAATATTTACAAGAAAAATAAAATAAAGAGTGAAAAAGGTTTTCTCTTGTGTTTGATTGCTTATATAGGTATTCCAGCCTTCTTCAAGTGTCTTGAACTTGTATTTATAAGTAGAAATGTGTTTGTGACCGTTTCTAGCCGTTGGGGATGATTTCTAGCCGTTTGGGGATGTTTTCTCTGCAAAATAAAACTGCCCAGAACAGAGGGTATCAGTACTCCTACAGGAAGTATCGGTACTCCTACAGGAAGTATCGGTACTACCTTTGTAATATTTAATAAAACACTCCTACAGGAAGTATCGGTACTACCTTTGTAATATTTAAATAAAACTTTCCATTACTAGCCGTTGGGCCTGACGGTATCGATAGTATGCCTATGGTATCGATACTACTATGTAAAGTAGTATCGGTACCTCTTAGGGTATCGGTACCTATTTTGCATTCTAGAATTTGAGCAAGCTGGTAGTATCGATACTACCTTGAGAGTATTGATATTTCTCTTACCTTTGGTATCGGTACCACATGAACAATATCGGTATTGTTCATATAGTATCGATATTGTAAGAACAGTATTGATACTTCATACGTGATAAATTGTTTTTGCTCATATTCTAGTTTATTGGACTTTGAATAAATTCAATCAAGTCCAAAAACAGTTTGCCTTAATTTGTTATATCAAAATATTATAAAACATATTTTAACATAGAGACCTATTCAAGATAATCTTTCTATTATTGAACTAAATAATATGCGTGTGTGTGTGTAACACATCAAGTCTCTCATATTTTCTTTTTATTCAATTTAGTCCTTTAATTTTTTTATCTTATCCTAAATTGAAGTCTAATTGTTTCTGAATTTTATAATTTGTTCCAATATTTCTTATTATTTATAATATTGTTTTACTTAAATTTTAATATAAAATAAAAATTATAAACATTAAATCGATCAATTTAAATAATAAACATTAAATTCTTAAATTGTTGATCTTATTTGATTCTTGTACTAGTACAAAGATTAAATTGATATATTTAATAGGGTAAAATACACGCTTAGTATCTAAACTATTATTTGTTTCAAAATCATACTTAATTTTTACTTTTTGTTTCGTTTTGGTACCTCGCCATTAAAAACTTAATGGAACTGCTGTACGTAGAAATTTTTATGGGTAAATTATATCATTCATCACTCAACTTTCAAATTGCTCATGTTTTAATCACTCTAATTTATTTTATTAATAATTTTTGTGTCATGACATTTATTATTATTGTTTTATTAATATATAATTAAAACAAAAAAATAAATTTGAAAGTTAGAGTGATTAAATTAGGAGTAATTTGAAAGTTAAGTAATTAAATTTTAAAAAATTAAACTGCAATGACCAAAATAGGAGTGACAAGATAGTTGAGTGATGAATGATGTAATTTACCCATAAAAAAGTGACATGATGTAATAGTTTTGCTAAGTTTTTAACGGTGATGTACCAAAACAAAACAAAAAGTAAACGTTAGGTATGATTTTGAAACAAATGAAAAGTTATGACCAAAATAGGACAAAATAGTTTAGATGCTAAACGTGTAGTTGACCCTATTTAATAATAGTAGATCGATGAATTTGAGCCACCCTCTATAATAGAGGGACCAAATTGATCTATTTAATAGTAGATGAACTAAATTAATAGCCCCTATAATAGATTGGCATGACAGATACTTTTACCCATTATTCCACCGTGACCAGATATAATAGTTTTAATATATGGGTAACATACACTGGTGACCATTAAATTATTGTCCATTTTTATTTTGACCGTCGATATTTAGATTTAATCAATCAAATTATCTAACTATTTAAATGCTTCAATAAAGCCACCGAACGTTAATATTTAACGGAGAGTATGACATGACTGTTAAAACAATTGGTATAATTATTCATTTAGTCCTCAATGTTTACACATTCTATTAATTTAGTACTAATTTCAATTTAGTCAATGAATTTAATCTTATAATCATATAATAACACATATCACCATCTGATTAAAGGTTTTTTTATTAGTTTTAATTTATTTAATCAATTAATTTATCTTCCAATCATATATTGACACGTGTCACTACATAATTGCAAGAAAATTAAATAATGTAAACAAAGGATGGGGAAGCTTGAACCTAATCCTCCTTGGTTGGAGAGAAACGATGTTACCACTGGCCCAAAAATAAACTTATTTTTTTATTCTAACACTTTATATACAATTCATATTAAGGGTTCGTTTGTTTCACGTAAAACATTTTTCACAAAAATTTTTCCTCACTTTTCAGTGTTTGGTTGGAGGAAAACAGATTGGTCAATGTAAAATATTTTCTTGGACAACAAATTTCCTTTGTATTTTCTGAAAAAATGACTTACGGTTAATTTTCCGTAAATTATTTTTCAAACTTTTTACTTCAAAGCATAAATACTAAAAATAATATTATTTTATAAATTTAATATTAATATGATTTATTTTAATAAAAATATTAATTATTAACATATTTAAAATATATTTATTAATATTTTTAATATATAATATATTATAATATTTATTACAATAATATACTCAATTATATTATAATAATATGATACTATTATATTCTTATTTTAATAATATAATAAATTATTAATAAAAGTTATATTATTTATTTCTTAAAAATAATCATTGAATTATTAATAGTCAATACTTTTATTTAGGTATTTAATATTAATATAATAGTCTAATATTATAAAAATTCATTGAAATATATTTATTAATAATTTTAAAATATAATATAATATTTTTATTTTTATAGATATTCAATATAATTTATCATATTTTTATTTTAATATAATATACTAGATTTAATATTTTTATTTATAAAATTATAGAAATAATATTTTAATAATAATATTGGCATAAATAGTATTAAATATATTATTCTAATATTTTTAAAATAATAATTTAAGTTTTATAATAATATATTATTTATTATATTGTATATTTGCAATAAATAATTTTAAAAAAAATTATCAACTAGTGAAAAATGGTTTACACAACATCTTCCAAACACCATAAAACATTTTTCAGAAGATGTAATAATTTTACGGAAAATGTTTTTTGGAAAATATTTTCAGTGAAACAAACGGACCCTAAGTTATATCTAGAAAAGAAAAAAATAAAAATAGTTTTGGGGATTCGAATTAAGGACATCTAAAGAGTTTAAAAACACATAAACCTCTGAACCAAGCTTAAAGATTAATTGAAATATAATAAATTTTAATACAAGTTTTTAATTGTGAAAAATAAAAAATGAATTTAAGGATTTTTTATTTTAAAAATCAAATTTAATTTTTTGAAAAACGTTAATCATTTCGAATTTATATGTGATAATTTTTTGTTTTGAAAAATGTTTAATTGTAATTTAAAAATTATTAATTATTTATTTTAATTAAAACTTTAGTTTAAAAAAATTAATAATTTGATATTTATATGACTACAAATTATCACATTTAAATAATTAGGTGATTTTATTGATGAAATCGAAACATCGGTAATCAAAATGAAAATAGATAATAGTTGAATGGTCACCTACATAATTTACCATAATATATTCCTTCTAGATAGAAGCTGAATTAGCCCATAAAGAATTGGTTTTGACAAACTCAAAACACGGAAGCTGGTGGCGGCAAAACCCCATCCCTCCTTTCCTTTTATATATATATTAACGAGATTACTTGTTTATGTTGTGGTCTGGTGTTGAAAATAACTTATGGATATTAAAACTAAAGTTGTTGATCTCTCTTTTCTATTGCACTTAGAGGCTACCGGCGATTCGGAAGCCGGTTATTCCGATCCCGCCATATCTTCCGGTGTCAACCATGCTCAAGACGACGATAATGAAGATGCAGAATCATGCAGCTGTGACACTACATCTGATCTTCATATGGTTATTGAGCATAATTATAGCTTAGACGGCGGCAATGCGAGTGTCGAAGACGATGAAGACAACGATGGCGAGGTAGTAGATAAAAAATGCATATATGATCCTTGTATTAATGGAATGGAAGCAGCAGAAAGTAAGAAATCATCGGCTGTTTCTATTGATTCGAGCCAAACCATGAATGAGATGGAAAAGAACAGGCTATTTTGGGAAACCTGTTTAGCATCTTAGGCTATGGTTTTGTTTTGTTTTTTCATTTTTTTTATAATTAGCCGATGACATCATAGTTGTCTGCAAATCAACCGTGTAAGAAAACTTTTAAGACCTAAAGAAACATGTCGAAACACAAACACATGTTCAATCGCATTGCTAACTTTATCGATATATAGACGTAACTGATCGAACGGAGACAAATCGAAATGTGCAAGTCATGTTCTAAACAATGCTGGGGATGAAGCATCATCGGTCAGACATCATTAGACAAATACAATCTAGTTTGTCTATCATCTCCACATGCTTATCCACTCGGCTCTTCAGATGAAGCTCGCGATAATTACATCAGAGTCGTCTCTGTCACTTGTTCCGTAGACAAAATTCTCGTTCTTTCTTAGATTAAACATTGCAGGCTGAACAACTTCTTGGACTTGAATGATCCTCTTTGTGATTTCATCAGCTGGCTTCTCCGAAAAATCGATTGGTGATGTTGGTATGATTCTCATCCAAATGCCTCAAGAAGCATGCCTCGATTTCGCCTAATGACTCGACTTCATCTTCATCTCCACTATAGTTATTGTAAAGGGCGTTATCATACTCCGATGTTGGACCTTTCAGTTCGCAGCTCGTTTCCATCTCTTGGTTACTATCGGAATCATCGTCAGTGAGACCATCATGTGAATGAGATGACATCGATGAATATCCTCCTCTGGCTATGCTTTCTTTACGTTCCTGCAGTGCTTTCATGATCAAGGTCTTGAGTAAGTTCATTACTTGAACGGCATGCATCAGAGCTGTCAACGGGTCGGACATCTGCTCGAAATCAAAACCGAACACTTCGTCTTAGTTCCATTGCTGTTCATAGTATTTGACAAACAATTTAAGTACATGTCTTTGAATACCTGAGTCATATTCGGAGCGAAAACCATGGCGATGTTTCTCGCATTCATTTTGTTTGACTCCTCTTCCTCGACAACATCTGCCATAAGATCAACTGTCCAATTGAGCAGTGCAGCTTCAGTTGGCTTCAGTTGCTTCACAAGATCGGCCGATTCTTGTTCAGTATTGCATCGGAGAACCTGTTCAGGGGAAAGTCCATCTAGCACACCCGAAGGAAGCTCCCGGAACCAAGCCTTTATAAGGCCTGCAAGACAATGGACGTCGATATTATCCGGCACGATGCCCCTATTCAGCTGATCTCTTACATGCTCCTCCTGGCTGTTTTCAGGATTGATCCGAAAAATCCCTTCGGCCTACAACACCAATTGAGAAGAAAATCATGATAAAAAAAATCACATATAATTGAATCTCAGTTGCCATGACTCCTCTCAATGATCATTAATGTGCTTTGAACATGAAAATGGTACAAGTTCAAAACACATAAAAGAATCCAAAGAAAAAGGACAGTTTACTTGAGTTGGCTAATTATTTAATAAATTAAATAATATCTAAAATTATATAATATATTTATAATGTTATTTTTTAAAAGAATAAATTTTGAGGAAAAGTATTGATGAGGGTATGGGCAAGTATTCGATCGAATTGAGTAAAAAATTGAATTAATCAAGTTGATAAGTTATGTTTTATCATTAAAATTTTATTTAATTTTTTATTTGAATTAAGTCAAATCAAATTGATTTTCAAGTTTTTTGTTTAAATTTTAATTTTTATAATATTATTGTGTGAATTGGTTCTAATTTAAATGACTTTATTTAACCATATAAGATATTCATGTATATATTTTTTCATATTAATTTTCACATGTGTAATTATGATTTGTAATGTTATTCAAAAAATCAAATACAATCCCAAATTATAAAATAAATATGTAATGTTGATTTTTAAAAGAATGAATTTTAATGACAAAATATTGATGAGAGTATAAAGAAGTCATGAAATTGATAGGAAGAAATAGTTTGCAAAAAGTTATGATCAAAATGAATAAAATTCAAAGTTGAGAGAATAAATTATAAAAAGGAAAAAATAATTGTTAAAAATAGTAATTGAGACTGCACATGGATTTTACAGTTTTAGAGGAGTGCGATATTCAAATTTGATAAAAAAAAAATTGACTTAAAAACAAAGGAAGAATTAAGAAAAGAGAGAAATCATGCAAAGTCGAATGACTAAATTACAAAAAATAAAATTTATTTTCAAAACTAATAATTGCAGATATATAGGCATTTTACAGTAGTGAACACCTAGTTCAAATTTAATTAAAAATATACTTAAAATGATTGATGAATTATAAAAAATAATAAAATAAATGACTGAATTTCAAAACACTCGAATTACTTAACTAAAGATCAAAATAATGTTGTTATGAAATTTGGTTTTTCGATTTTTCGAATCGGTAAAATTTGAAATTGAAAACTCACTCACTCACTAATTCAAGTTGACTCAAATAACTTTAAACTAAAAAAATATAATCGAATAAAATTTTGGTTACTCCTATCAGATTGAGTAATATGTAAAGTTAAAAGACTAAATTATAAAAAGGAAAAAAATATCAAAAAGAAGAATTAAAATTACATAAATATTTTATTATTCGATCAAAATGAAACAAAATTTTAAAAACAATGAAATCATTTGTCTCTTTCAGATAGCTTTATTGAAGGAGGAGACAGTCCCAGTTTAATAAGTTACTATTTGTTTACTTCATTTTCAAAATAAAGGACAGTTCACTTCTCCAGATCTAAACTACACTAACATTAACATTTCAAACAATTAAAAAGAAATCAACTTAGCAAAAAGAACATATTGAAAAGGGAAAGTACCTTCCACTCGGAACTCGACCGGGGATCTCAACTTCGAACTCCACCGGAAGACCCAAGAACCCATTGAACCGATCAAATGTTACGTGGGTAATGTGTTTTACGTTGGTCGGCCACCCGATTTCCATATGACGAACGGTGGAAGACACCACTTCGTCTCGTCTGTCCACCCGACAAGACACCACCGATTTCCTCAAAGCAGCCAAAAGCAATGCCACCACAGAAATCTGGTTCTGCCGCTGCTCTTCCTCGCAGCCTCCTTTACCTCCGCTCTTTCCGCCACCACAGACACCGCCCTTAGTCACCATGACTAGACCAGTCATTTTCCGGGGTTTTGAAATTTTCGTTGTTGCATTCAAAGAGAAGGGGAAGGGAGTTGGGTTTTTTGTAAGTGTTTAAACGCCCACTTGTTTTTTCAAATTTTGATCTTCTCACTTTATCTAATTGTTTGGCCTTGTGGTTGCAGTAATACTACGAGAGTGCCATCTACCCAGCATATGAAGAGGTAAAATCCTTTAAAGATCCTTGTACCATGCGTTTCTAACATATCTAGCCCTCGGCTGAATATTATCATTTATAACTACATCATTATTCTTATATATTTAAAGATAATTATAATAATAGTTTTTTATATTATTTTTCAATTAGGTCATTATTTTATTTAATAGAATGATTTTTTATATATAAATATATTTAGATTAGAACATGTCGAATCGAGTGGGGTTCTCCTAAACTCGGGTTGAGTCGAGTGCGGGTGAAGGATTTTTATTTTCGGATCATGTTCAGTTAGGCCAAAAATATGATCTAATCCGACTTGTTATCATCCTTATTTATAATCTTGAAGTCATATTTTTTTCATTAATTATGTTAAATAATTTGAAATAATTTATTTTTAAAATATGTGGTGATGTAATATATATATATATATATATATATATATATATTTTACTTTTGAATAAATATTGCCTAATTGTAAGCAAATATCAAAATGTATACATTTTATAAACAAAAGAAACTAGAAGTGAAGTAGAAGGACTATATCTATCAAAAACGCATAGTACATATACCTCTTACAGAATTTGACCGATGTGAAATTGCCGAATTCCTTTTGACAATTTCTTATTATTTATTATTTCCAGAATTGGTCAGAGAAAATCATTCTTCATTAAGAAATGTACACTGTTATTTTAAATTTCATTATTCAAATTAAAACATTATTATATGTTCTGCTATTTACTTTTGTTTCTTCTATTAGTTTAATTGGCATCATGGTTAAAAAAGTTTTTTAATGTTCGCTATTTTTCTAATTGTGCTTTTAAATTCTTTTTTTCTTTTTTAGTTGTTTATTAGTTCCTCAAAGTTTTGTCATGATTAATCTGGATCAATCCGTATTGTATATTTGATTTCAATGGACAAGTCTCTTAATAGGAATTTTTTGCATACACAATCTCGAATTCGAAACATATTAAGCGATATCAGTTGTTTACCACTTAAACTAAACTCTGGTTGTAAAGTTTTTCTTTAACAATTTAAATTATAGTGTTTCAATTTTTTTTTCCAAATAAACCTTGCTATTGTTTTTCTTGTCGACGTTAAAAATAAATAAATGTTTAGTGTTTTTGTTATTATTTTCTTTCTTTCTTGATTTATAGTTTTATCTCATCTATAAATGAAAAAGATTAAAGTTTTTGCAACAAATTCTAGTATTTAATAATTTAAACTCATGCATAGCACATTACATGTTAATCATCATAAGTTCAATGATATAATGATATTTAAAAATAAGAGCATTTTTATCAAGATAAATAAGATTGAAACATAATTTTTCTTATTTATAATCTTGTACTTATTTTAATTTAATTTTTATTTTAATTATATTTTTCATATTTTGTAACCATCCAAATAATATTTTTTATATAAATAAATTATATCATAAAATGATCTCCAATATTTACTTATTTTTTTATTTTCATGTCATGTTAATAAAAATATTAATTAATAATTAACCATTCAAAAAGAGTTGTGAAATTTTGATAAGTTTAATTGTCTTTTTATAGCAGTTTAATAAATTTAATGAATAGTTTATAACTATTTAAAAATAATAAGGCTTAAGGGCTGCTTTTGTCCATATAGTAGACTCAATTTATCATTTTTTTCCTTATAGTATTTTCGCATCAATTTAGTTCTCGAATTTGTTTAAGAGCGTCATCCTAGCCCTGGAAGTCTATTGATTGTTTTGACTAA